AAAGAAAAGAAAAGAAAAGAAAAACTTCAGAATAGTAACATAGTAATAATATTATGGTAACTTTAGAAGAAAAAAAATGAGGGCTGGAGAGATGGCTCAGCAGTTTTAGAGCCCTGGCTGCTCTTACATAGGACCTCGGTTCAGTTCCCAGCACCCACATGGCAACTAACAACTAACTGCCTTGGGTCCAGTTCTACGAGATCTGCTGACCTTTTTCTCCTAGACTCCATGGGCATTACAAGTATGTGCTTACATATAGCCCAAACACTCATATACAAAAACTACAAATAAATCTTTTTTTAAAAAAGAGAAAGAAAAGGCGGGGAATGGTGGCACACACCTTTAGTCCCAGCACTCAGAAGGGAGAGGTAGATGGATCTTTTTTAGTTCAAGGCCAGCTTGGCCTACATAGCAAGTTCCAGGCCAGCTAGGACTACAGGAAGACACTGTCTCAAAAAGATCAAGAGGAAAAAAAAAAAAAAAGAGAGAGAGAAACAAGCAAATACTATACAAACATTATGAAGATCCCATTTGTGTACACAGATTCTCAAACTTTTTAAAAATTGTCTACATGTCAAAAATTAAGAGTTCTTATTTTAATTAAGAAAACAAATTTTGCTAATTCTGGCAGCTTTTGGAGAAGAAAGAGAACTGGGGGCTTTGAAGTTTGGGCAGAAAAACAATCATTTTCAAAGTAATAACATAGTAAGCTGCTTTAGCACAAATGATTCCAAATGCAGAGCCCTGGCATAAACTTCAATCTTCACTCAAACCACCAACAAATTATGTAAATTTGTATGTATTATTCTCTGTTTCAAGGTTTCAAATGAAAGTAAAGTACCTAAACTCAAAGAGTTGGAAAGGGGCAAGATGGCACAGAGAGTTAAAGCACTTGACAATAAGCCTGGATGACCTGAATTAAATTTCTGGGACGCACAGGATAGAAGAACCAAGTCCTCAACTCCTGCAAATTGTCCTCAGACCTCCACATGCATGTGCCATGTACCCACCCACCAACACATACAATAAATAAAAATGCAGTAACACGTAAGGATCAATTGAGAAAATTCACTAGGCACAGTGGTACAACATCTTTAATCCCAGCACTCAGGAGAGCCTGTCTGTCTCTGTGAGATGGAGGACAGTCTGGTCTATATAATGAATTCTAGGCCAGCTGGGGCCACAGGGAGACCCTGTCTTAAAAAACATCCAAGAGCTGGGCGTGGTGGCGTACACCTTTAATCCCAGCACTTGAAAGGCAGAGGCAGGTGGATCTCTGTGAGTTCAAGGCCAGCCTGGTCTATATAGTGAGTTCCAGGTCAACTGGGGCTACAGGGAGACCCTGTCTCAAAAAGACCAAAAAAAAAAAAAAAAAAAGAAAAGAAAAAAAAATCCAAGAAAGGGCTGGAGAGATGGCTCAGTGGTTTAAGAACACTGGTTGTTCTTGCAGAAGACCCAGGTTCAAATCCCAGCATCCACATGGCAGCTAACAACCGTCCGTAACTCCAGTTCCAGGGGATCCGACAGCCTCTTCTGTCCTCCGTGGGCTTTGCACGACACAGGTGCACTTACTGCATGCAGGCAATACACGCATACACAGAAAATAAAATAAATATTTTTAGAAATCCAAGAGAAAATTCATGTATACTATTTAATATCACCCACCCAGAGATCAGTACATCATAATTTTCTTATTACGAGAAACATTTATTCAAAAAACCATTATTTGTAATATAATATTGTTAGAAACTTTTTAAAAAGTGAATTTCTAGTTAGTTTGTTTCAAAAATGAACTTCCGCTGCAAGGAAAACATACAACAAAGATTTAATAAGGTAACTATCAAAGTCAGTTCCACAGCTTTATTAAAATATGAATGCTCAGTCCTACCCTCTGAGCCTCTCACTTTGCACGTACAAGAAAGGGAAGGCAAATTTTTTGGTCTTTTTGAGACAGGGTCTCCCTGTAGCCCCAGCTGTCCTGGAACTCACTGTGTAGACCAGGCTGGCCTTGAACTCACAGAGATCCACCTGCTTCTGCCTCCCGAGTGCTGGGATTAAAGGCATGCGCCACCATGCCTGACTAGGGAAGGCAAATTTTAAAGTTCTTTACTCTGTGTTAAGAGTAATTACACCACATTATAGGCCTTCTTTTTTACAGAATTCATCTTCAAACATTTCACTACTTTATTATCATCTCAGTACTATTTTCACCTGGACCTAAACAGCACCGACAGAAGAAAATAGCATATAATAATACTGCTGTAATTCTGGGGGGGGAAAAAAAAACAAAAACCCAAAACAGTTATTACACAGGGTTG